CCCCACACCGACCTCCCACCTGGCCTGAGGCTCCTGTTTAGTTTGACAGAGGCCCCAGCCCAGGGCCCCACACCACATCCTGACTCACACGCCCTGGGGCTCTCACTTGCAGGCCTAGCGCTGCAGCCTCACTGGGCTGGCCTTCCAGGGGTGTCTCTGGTACCACAGGCGCGTGCGTCCCTCCCTAAGCTGCTGTGCCCCGCCGCATGACACAGCCCCTCCACACAGTGTGAAAGGACCCTCGGCGTGTCGCCCTGCTCCCCTGTACTCAGGACCCTGAAACCGAACGCAGGCCACAGGCCTGAACACCCCAGACGGCCCCACTGCAGGAGGGATAATGGGAACCGGAGGGAAACGCATCGGGGCTGTGAAGGAAGGAACCGGAAGCACCCCGGATCTTGCAGCGGACGAATCTCTGCTGCTCCGGTCCATGCAGAGCCCAGCCCGATTTCCCTCCCCTCGTGGCCCTGCGCCCAGCTGGAACACGCAGAATGACGCGCCCCCGCACCAGCGAGGTGCCGCGGGGCGCTCGCAAGAACCCTGCGGGGCTGCATCCTGGGGCCGGAGCCTGTGAAGACAGCCCACTGGTTCTGTAACATGCCATTTGTGCACGGGCTTGCAGACGTCCGGAGGAGCGACACCATTCCACGGGGACTGGGGGCTCATGGCGGAGCGACACCGGAGGGCCGGCGGGGAGCTGGGGTGGGGCCCGGAGGCCGGTGGGGAGCCTCCACCCCCGGCGCTTGGGGGAGCGGACGAGTGGGCAGTGGGGCTGGCTGGAGTCAACAGCGGCCGCACTCGGATGTTCCTGGCCGGCTGCGCTGGTGCCTGCCCCCGTCCTCCACCCCCATCCGGAACAGGGACGCCCCTAGCACTGCCCCCGACTCGGAGGGCTCAGGACTACTTATCAGGGTTACGTGGCCATGGTCACACGGTCTGCCCACAGAGAACGGGTCCCCAGGGAGGAGGCAGGACTGCGGCTGGCCTCGGCCTAAGCAAGTCTCCCCCATGTCACTCGGTGGAGGCGTGGGGCCCATCAGGATAAGTCCCATCTACGGGAAGCCCCTTAATGCTGCAGCCTGGACACAGGGCCTCCCTGGAGACTGGCTGGGCCGCGACGGAGACAGGAGGAGGGACGCCAGGCAAAGCGGCTGAAGCAAGCCCTCTGTGCGGGGCGCCGGAGCGCCGGCCACGCCACCCCCAAACTCACAAACGGTGCTGGGAGAACTCGTCTGGAAATGCACCGTTGATCTTAAGTCCGCACGATGTGGTCCGACTCCCAGCCTCGAGCGTCCTTAGCGGCCCCCTGCGTCAACATCGTGGGGCGCTCGTCCCCACTGCTTTCTGTGCCCTCGCTTGCACAAATTTACACCATGAGGTGACCGCAAGTCGTGGTCTCGGTACACTCGTCTATCGCAGGGAGTGTGAAGCAAAGGGAGCAAGGAGCAGAGCGAGAGGAAACTCGGCGTCCAGGCCTGGGGGGGACCCGTGCCCCGCACAGTCCCTCTGGTCTCCCCAGGAAACACACCCAGGTCAGCCAAGGGCGGGCAGGTGGGAGGGGGTGGACGGAGGCTGAGGATAAGGCAGGTCCCTGTGGAAAGCCACGGCACCAGAGGGGAAGACGGTGCAGAGAGAAAGCACAGCTGAGCAGACACACCGGGCGACAGAGGGGTGACGGAGCTTCGAGGACACGGACCCCACAAAGACCCCGAAGACAGAGCTGAAGCTGTAGGTGCAGGCTGTGTGCGGGCGCAAGCCAGAGACAGGTCTGACCCGCCTGCCCGCCCTCCCCACCCAGATGCCGGGAGCGTCCCTCTCCCTCCGCGTACACCCCAAACGTACCCTTAGTGCGCATGCCCGACGCGTACGCGGGGGTCTGCGTGTCCAGCGGACCAGCCCGAGTGGCATTTCCTTGGGGTGAGGGCCAGTCTGGACGGTCCAGGCTGCCCAGGGACAACCACGGCCCCAGAGACGCCAGGCCAGTAAGACTCGGGGGCAACGACAAGAGCTTTATGAAGAGTCGTGATACCCTGGGGTTGCTACCCCTGCTGCAGGTCTCTACGGTGAAACGTGTACAGCCTGGGGAACATCCACACCCAGAGGATAAGGGAACAGGGACACTGTCTCGAGCAACCCAAGGTGGGCACCTGTGGCATGCGTCCTGCGTGTGCACCTAGGTGCACACCCTCGTGGCTGAAGGATGATGCTGTGTGTCCAGAAGGCGGCCATGGAGGAGCTGCTGGGGGCCAGGCCAGGGTGGATGGAGCTTCTTGGGCCTGGAGCCGGCTCAGGGGGCAGGACATCACTGCAGGGGCAGGGGGAGGGGTGGGGAAGGAGAGAGGCAGCTGCCGTGCTGGACCCAGCCCCCAGCAGCCCCCAGCAGCCCCCACAGCCCAGCAGCCCCCACAGCCCCACCAGCCCCCACAGCCCACCAGCCCCACCAGCTCCCACCAGCCCCCACCAACCCCCACAGCCCCACCGGCCCCCACCAGCCCCCACCAGCCCCACATATCTCGCCCAGGCCAGAGCTTATCACATCCACTCCACCCCCTTGGAGCAGATTACTCAGCCTTTCCAGAATCAGAATGGCACCCTGGGGACCTCGGGAGGGGAGGACAGGGGCTGCCAGATCTCCAGATGAGGGGCTGTGTGGAGGCCAGTCAGGTGGCTGGTCTGAAGCCCTCCATCCCCCCGGGCTGCCCCAGCACCCTGCCCTGGGCTCTGGACACAACAGAGTGCTCACCTGGAGCAGCATGCTGAGGCCCAGATTGCGGTGCCTCCTCTCCAGCTCTGACACAGCCTGCAGCAGGGACCCAAAGCGCTCGGCCGGGTCAGCGTCCTCATCCTCCGGGGACCCCTCCTCTTTATCCGCCTCCTGCAGAAAACGCTCCTCCTCCTCGGCAAAGAACGCCCTGAGCTTCTTGTAGTCGGTCAGGGCTTTCTTCCTGCGGTCCATCACGTGTCCCTGCAGGGCAGGGAGGCAGACGGCAGGGAGGGACACCTGTGTCCCCAGGATACACCCTGGGGCCTCCCGCCCCCACCGCTGCCCACCTCGGGGAGAAGGGTCTGCTGCTCGGTGCACGGCACTCAGCTGCATCCCTGCCAAATGGGGTCAGGGTCCCCTCCTCGGGCCGACCACAGGCCTGCTGCCACTTGCCTTCCACACTGCCGCAGCGGACTCGGCCTGGCCGTGCAGATCCCGGGCATCGTTCAGGTCTTTTCTCATGATCTCCACAGACCCCTTGTTCTCCTGGGAAGACACGCTGGTTACTGGTGGGCGTAAGGTCAGAAACTCCAGGGTCCCCTCGCCCAGTCGGGGGCAGACTCAGCGTGTGACCGTGGCCTGTCAGTTCTGCACAAGCCGACCAAAGGCACCAGAGGGGGTCTCAGCTACCCCGGGAAGCTCTCTCCAGAAGGAACTCTGATAGGAAACACCTGCCAAGACTACAACCAGGCAACTGGACAAAGACCAGGCTCTGGGGTCCCTACTGTTATGCCGCCAAGGGAGCGATGCTGAGTGGCCTCTCAAGGGTGCAATGACCCTAGACCTAGGATCCCCCAGCAGGAGCAGACCCCAGCTCCCGTCCAGCCACCCCCAGTGCCCATGGGGACCCAGGCCCCACCACCTGACAGAATGCTTCCCTCCCCGGTCTTCCCTAGGGCGGTGGGACCACACACATTGTCTCTGCCCTGAAGGAGGTCCTGGCTGTCTTTACTCCCTCTGTGACCCCACCTCCATGGGGGGTCCCCAGGCCCCAGCTACAACCAGCGTCTGCAATAGCGGGTGTCTACCCAGGGTCCACAGCACAGCCAAGGTTTCCATGTCGAGCGGGTGGGGTCGCGGAGAGGGAGTGGGAAGGCGGTCTGGGGGAAGGGAGGGGGACGCACTGGACCTCAGCAGCTGACGGCCAGGCTCATGCCTGGTCCACCAGACAGGATCTCGGGGGTTAGAGCCAGCGGGGGTTGGGCTGCTGCCGGGTGACGTCACGCCCAGAGGCAGGGCAATGAGGTGCTGCGGGCGCGGTATGGGGGCGGGGTCGGCAGATGGACACTGTCTTCAGATGGGGGGAGGGGTACAACAGTCCGAAGATGTAATATGGGGATGAGTGTGGGAGGTGGAGGGAAAGGATACGGCCCAGGGATGGGGGCCAGCGATAAGGGAAGAGGACACTGTCCAGGGGATGGGGAGGTGGGGCACAGGGCACCGTGTGCCGAATGAGAAGGGAAGACAGAGCACAGTCTAGGGATGGGTGAGGGGCAACAAGGCATGATCCGGGGAAGGGGACCGGGTTGGAAAGAGGACAGGGCACCGTCAGAGAGTGGGGGTGGGGGGGAATGGAGGACTGGGCACCAT